CTGCAAGACAGAGGAGAGGAAAGTGATCAGGAACAGTCAGCATGGATTCACCAAGGGCAAGTCATGCCTGACTAATCTAATTGCCTTCTATGACAAGATAACTGGCTCTGTGGATGAGGGGAAAGCAGTGGACGTGTTGTTCCTTGACTTTAGCAAAGCTTTTGACACGGTCTCCCACAGTATTCTTGCCAGCAAGTTAAAGAAGTATGGGCTGGATGAATGGACTATAAGGTGGATAGAAAGTTGGGTAGATTGTCGGGCTCAACGGATAGTGATCAATGGCTCCATGTCTAGCTGGCAGCTGGTATCAAGTGGAGTGCCCCAAGGTTCGGTCCTGGGGCCGGTTTTGTTCAATATCTTCATAAATGATCTGGAGGATGGTGTGGATTGCACCCTTAGCAAGTTTGCAGATGACACTAAACTGGGAGGAGAGGTAGATATGCTGGTGGGTAGGGATAGGATACAGAGGGACCTAGACAAATTATTGGATTGGGCCAAAAGAAATCTGATGAGGTTCAACAAGGAAAAGTGCAGAGTCCTGCACTTAGGATGGAAGAACCCCATGCACCGCTACAGACTAGGGACCGAATGGCTCGGCAGCAGTTCTGCAGAAAAGGACCTAGGGGTTACAGTGGATGAGAAGCTGGATATGAATCAACAGTGTGCCCTTGTTGCCAAGAAGGCCAATGGCATTTTGGGATGTATACGTAGGGGCATTGCCAGCAGATCGAGGGACGTGATCGTTCCCCTCTATTCGACATTGGTGAGGCCTCATCTGGTGTACTGTGTCCAGTTTTGGGGCCCACACTACAAGAAGGATGTGGAAAAATTGGAAAGAGTCCAGCGGAGGGCAACAAAAATGATGAGGGGACTGGAACACATGACTTATGAGGAGGGGCTGAGGGAACTGGGATTGTTTAGTCTGCAGAAGAGAAGAATGAGGGGGGATTTGATAGCTGCTTTCAGCTACCTGGAAGGGGGTTCCAAAGAGGATGGATCTAGACTGTTCTCAGTGGGAGCAGATGACAGAACAAGGAGTAATGGTCTCAAGTTGCAGTGGGGGAGATTTAGGTTGGATATTAGGAAAATCTTTTTCACTAGGAGGGTGGTGAAGCACTGGAATGCATTACCTAGGGAGGTGGTGGAATCTCCTTCCTTATATATTTTTAAGGTCAGGCTTGACAAAGCCCTGGCTGGGATGATTTAGTTGGGGATTGGTCCTGCTTTGAGCAGGGGGTTGGACTAGGTGACCTCCTGAGGTCCCTTCCAACCCTGATATTCTATGATTCTATGATAAAGAGGGTAATTGTTCTAGACTTTTAAGAATTCAGATTAGAGTTGTGGGTGCTACATTAAGTCAATACAGTTAAATAAAAATTTGAAAATTAGTTAAATTGTGTGTATTTTTTTAGAAAAGGAAATGTAACAACAGAAGGAACTTTGGAGTAGGAACAAGTTACCCGTTTTGTTGTATGGAAGGAGTCATCATGTCAGGAGTCTTATCGGCAGGAGCACTTTGCTACAGCACTTGGAGCCAGGCAGGCAAGTCCACAGTAGTCAGTAATAAGTTAATTAAAGAGTTTACTGTTACATAAAGTCTCCCGGATTTCTTCTTATGTTATAATAGCTGGTTGGCAAGAGCTGTTACACCTTGCACTGGAGAAAGTCACTGGGCTCCTGGATCCAGCAGCAAGACCTCACTTCTCCCACTCTCCATCCCCAGGAGCATCTGGGATTCGCGGGCATCTGTCTCCTGAATGCAGTAGAACTCTCTGAGCCCTCCCAGCCTCCTCAGAGCCCGCACTCCAGCCCCAGTGCGAGCAGGGCCCGAGGCTTGTGAAAAAGGCACCAGCGGGAGAGAGAGACACAATCTCTGAATAACAGGACTATGAAGGAGCCGATTCCTGAGGTGAAACGTGCAGGAGCAGGAGGGCTCTGACTGCACAGAGCTGCGCCAAACTCTCAGAGCCCTGAGAGAGAGGGTGAAAGTTAGTGAGTATAGCCCTGACTTCGTGGCAAGGGCGGCAGTATGAATGCACTGGGCTGGGTTAGATTGGAGATGTCAACAGAACCTTCCCGTTGCTTTTCTCTTGGGGGCCAGTCTGGGTTTTTATCCACAAGACTGCCCATAAAGATGCCACCCACATGCCCAGCTGCTTAATATTTCCAGACACTGGGCTATGTTTGTCACCTGAAATTAAGAGTTAGCCCTTGAATGGCACCCCCAAAGCCATGAACAAGAGCTGATGAATTCTCACCATGGCTCTGAGAGGTAAATAACTGCATGTTAAAGTCCCCACTTCTCAAATGGGAAAACAGAGACCTCATTGGCCAAACCCACCCTGATCTAGAGCCCTGTAACTCTAGATGCAGTTACATCTCGGTGCAGTTACATCAGAGATAAACACGGCCCAGGGAGATCATATGACATGCCCAAGGGTGCGCAGGCAGTGCAGGAGCTGGGAGTAGAGCGATATAGTTCGCGGCTCCCAGTCCTATCCCAACAGCACTAGTCCTATCTCCCTCCCTATTTTATTCCTTCCCCTAGGGCAGAGTAAGTGCTGCTGAAGGTGGATACCTGCCCCTCTCCCTGGTCTGGATGTGCTGGGAACGAGGCTCTGAGACTGACAAACATTTATTGTAACTTCCTCAGCCCCCTTCAGCCACCGACTTGAGGGCTCTCCACACACCCCACAGCAGCTAGGGACCCCTGCAGACTCTACCTGCCTGCCCAGGCACTCAGAGAACCACAGAGCAGAACCAAAGGGTGGACACAGACTGAGAGCAGGCCCAGGGGACCACTCGGGCAAAAGTGAGTTATGCATCACTAGAGCTGGAAAAATGTTTCTGACAAATAATTTATTCAGCTAAAGTTGCAGTTTCGGTCGACGCAAAACTGTTCACAGATTAGACACAAATAGTCAAATCTCATCTGGGATGTGGAAGCTCTCTCTTATAGGGCTGTAGCTTGTCCCTCCTCCCGCACAGCCCCCTCCCTGGGATCGTCAGGGCCAATCAGATGAGAGCAGATGAACATAAAAGAAGACTTTAACCCCAGGAGGGTCAATATAAGGAGCAGACACTGTCAGGCATTGTCAGCACCTCTCGCTGCGTTTCTTCCAAGGGCCTGAAATCTCCTCACCATGCTCTGGGTTCCCCTCATTGTCCTCCTGGGGACATGGTGCACAGGTGAGAACAGGGAGAGCAGGTTAAATACACAATGAAGTTACTACTGAAGCCAATTGCACAAACCCTGTTACTAGTGGCTGGGGACGGACAGGGAGGGGTTGACACGTTTCTACCATATTTTTTCCAGGTTCCAGCTCGCAGCCTGTGCTGACTCAGCCGCCCTCAGTGTCAGTGTCCCCAGGAAACACCGTGAAACTCTCCTGCACCATGAGCAGTGGGACCAGTATCAGTGGCTACAGTGTGTTTTGGTACCAGCAGAAACCTGGGAATTCTCCACGATTCCTTCTGAGATACTATTCAGAGTCCAGCAAGGACCCAGGGCTCTGGGGTCCCTGCTCGCTTCTCTGGTTCCAAAGACATGGCCAGTAATGCAGGCTATCTAACCATCTCCGGGGCCCTGTCAGAGGATGAGGCTGATTATTACTGTGCGGTGTGGGCCAGTAGTGCGAATCACAGTGATCCAGCCAGATGGGGAAGTGAGACAAAACCTCCCTCCCCCCACCGTACGATGGTGTTGGGGGACAGAACTGCAGAGGCTGCAGTGTTTGGTCTCTGCCTATAACACATCCCACAAGAGTTGTTCTTCGCAGTGAAGTCCATTTCCTCACTCAGGAGATGCACAGCGCTCCCCTGATTCCTCCTTGTGTTCCCTCTGCAGGGGGTTAGGTGGAACATCTCCCTCCTCCTTCTCTCTCTTTTTGTGGGGAGGAGGGGAGGACAACTCCTCCCAGCTGCCTCCGTGCACTGTGTGAATGGCCCTTCCCTGTCTCCCTCCTCCATCTCCTGGTGCAGGACGGGAACTCTCTGCTCAGACTGGCTAAGGGTCGTCACCCCCTCCAGCATGAGCAGGGGAGCTACAGCTCCAGTTACACCCTCTTGAGACATCCCTAGTCAGGGCCCTAGAGGTCTTGCCAAGAGAACATAAGAACGGCCATACTGGGTCAGAGCAAAGGTCCATCTAGCCCAGTATCCTGTCTTCCAACAGTGACCAATGCCAGGTGCCCCAGAGGGAATGAACAGAACGGTAATCACCAAGTGATCCATTCCTTGTCACCCATTCCCCACTTCTAGCAAACAGAGGCTAAGGATACCAGAACACTCGAGCCTGCAGCAAAGAGAGATCCTGAGATTTCCAGAGTAAAACAAGCCCCTGGGCCAGGTGACGGAGCAGGGCTGTTTGCTTAAATATTCACAGGGAAGCATCAGACTATCCAGGAATGACATTTGGACTGGTGTATGTGTGAACGAACAAGTTACACTCAGAACATACCCGGACTCCACGTCACTGACTGCGGGAGAACCGACCCGAACGGCATTAACGTCTGCCACCGCTCAGCAAAGGGGTGACGCTGGTGTCAGAAAAGGGCCGTTGAGGTCACCAAAAGGGGGAATGATATAGAACTCTACTGGGAGAGGGTGGCTGCTCTACCTTATCCTGATGTGATTGCCCCAATACCTGGGCAATCTCTTCCAAAGCTGTGAGCAGGCCGATGACTTGAGGAGTCGGTCTCTGCACTCAGAGAGCCAGGGAGGAGCTGCTGGATTCTGAGCCCCCTATTTCCTGTGAGGTGCCCGGGTGGGAACTGAGCTCTTTCATAAGTGATCAGCAGGCAGAACCTGCTCCATTGGGCAGCTAGCCCTTGGAAACAGTCTCTGCCTTTGCCAGGAGCGACCAGATCCGTTGGTGCACGTTGACCTCTGCTGGCCTTGCTTTGCCTGCCCCAGCCCCAGCTTGTCTGACACCATGGTCCGTGAGGTGAGTGCTGGATTCACATCAGCTCCGATCTCTGTGGCTCTGCTGCCATCTTCAGGCTCATCCCAAGCAGGAAGCGTCTCCAGCTGTAAGGGTCTGGTTGACATAGACCCGGGAATCTTCACATGGCACTGCAGCAAAAGGACACTAGATGGGGATGTGCACCAGGGAAGGAGGTTACTGCAGGGCTGGGGGGCGCAGGCAGAGTTGCAGATTCCCACAGACACCCAGGAATCATAATCTGGCTAAGATGTTCCAAAAGGACAGGGATCTGGGGAGCCTCTGTTTCTATTTGCCCAACTGAAGACACGGGAAAGGAGCCTGATTTTCACACGACAGGTACTTCGCCCCCTTTGGATACCCGCAAATCACTAGCCACCTTTGAAAATCTTGGCCAATCTGTTTTCTTTTCCTCTGAATTGAGTTCCTGTTAGAGAGGCCTGAACTCAAGCCCTGGATCTAAACAGAAGCAAACTTTGGCAGGGGCAGGGGGCGGAGAGGTAACTGCAGGGGGAGTAGAGGCATCCAGATCTGAATTTCCTGGCACTGTCAGGGAGTTAGCAGAGGGAGGCTCATTGCTTAGCTCTGGGAATTGGGCCTTGCCCGTTATCTGAACTGTGTTGCGACTGATTGTCAGTGTCTGACATTTGCCCAATATTAATTTGTTGCTGCATTTCAGGGCTTAGGTCCATCTCCTGTTCCTTGTCTTTGGCTAGTTTAATCATTTCCCTTTGCGTGGACTCAGACGTATGCATAACTTGATGGGAGATGGCAGCTTGCTACAAAACGTTTACCTGACCTGTATTATTTAGAGTATACGGCTCAGCATCCCTGTCTGAAATTGGGGCATTATGAGCTGCTAAGACTGCACTCATTAAGAAACAATGAAGTTGAGTAACCGACCATATTCATGTCCCTAAGAGACTCAAGTACATGCTGGGACAAATGACTGACCTGGAGGAGCGGCTTGTGGCCTGCTGCACAGCACACGTGCAGTGACGGCACGGTGAATAGTAGGCAAGGCTGCTCAAGCGGAGCACAGTCATCTGCCCCACCTTGCCATGCAAAGCTGCCCAAGTGCACCAGAGCAAAACCAACAGTCTCTTGCCTTGAGAAAGCCCTCTCTGATCCTGGAGGATTCCCAAAGCCCCTCTCAAAATGATCTACAAAGATCACCCATCATTGATCTGCAGCCACCTCTGGGGTGGAGAGAGACAGCTGATGTACAGCTCACAACATCACGACACACAAGTTTGGGGCAGGCAGCACAGAATAATAATACGGCCGATCCAATGAGAAATTGAGGTAGGTAGAATGTAACTAGCTTTGTTACAACAGGCCAGGTCACTGGGGTTAACACCTGAAAGTGCTGTGGAGTCTCATTGAACCCAAATGGCCAGGAGTTCCTTAGACAGCTGCAAAATGCTTCCAAAATAGGAGTAGTATTTATCACAGGAGCTCAATTTCACGTCTCATCTAAAAGATGTTTCTTCCAGAAATCATGTCCCCTCACGCCGTGCTGAGACACCGACTTCCGATCGGTCTCAGCACCTACCCCGTCTACAACACCCAACTTCTTGCAGCCCCCGAGGTGTTTCTTGGAGGTCTCCATGTCCAGCTCAAGCAGTTGTAGTGGGAGAGGCCTGACATGGTGCCCAACCATCCTACGCAAGGCTACGCAGCTACTCACTGAGGCCTTAGCTGATCACTCAGCTGATGAGTGATCAGAGCTCAATTGGTCTTCGCTCCATGTGACAAGGGCATGGCCATTGTGAAGTGATACGTGTAAATACCCCTGACTGCACAATGTCAATGACCAATCACCGTCAGCAGAGCTGAAAGCTTGGCTCTGACACAGACTGTGCTAACAACAGGGTGAAAGGACACCCTGGCAAAGCACAACAAGCCCTGAGCCCCATGGAAGTTTCATTCAACCCTCCAAACAGGGTCTAGGTGTTGGGATGCTGCCCAGGCCCTGGCCTGTGGAGAGAACTGGGTGGGCTCGGCGAGCCAGGGACCAGCAGCCAGAACAACTGAAAAGAGAGCTGGTGATAATGGAAGTCTGATTAGCTTCAACTGGCCACCAGATGCCCTGAGCCACAAACAAGGTGGGGTGGGGAACACCGATGCTCGGGGGGTGGGAGGGCTACTGGCTGAGAAAGCTGGGCTAGTGCTCTCTGCTTTGGTTCGATTCTTTGCCGAGTCTCTGACCCTTACCGGTCCAATAAGCCAGGAAAAAGTAAAACAAAGGGGGTGGGATTGTCTATGAGACACTTCACACACACACACAGGTTTGGGTTTTGTTGGAGTCTGAGTTTTTCTCAAGCTAAACGAAGCCGGTTGACCAGTCTGAATCCAGAACAAAGCAGCCCCAAGCGATGTGTGCGTGCTGGCTGGGCTGGTTCACACATTCACCCTAGGTAAGCACGGCACCCTAGGTAAGCAGGGAGTATGTTCTCTGGCCCAGTCGCTCCCAACCAGCCAGAATGAGCTGGTCCTGGCGGTAGTGAAAGGAATTAACGGGGCTCTTCACCTGGCTCTGGTTTAATGCCAACTGGTGAAACAGTTGCTCTGACACATAAGGGATTGATAGCCCTGGCTAGACCCAGCCAGAGCACCGGCCACTTCTCCAGGCAGCTCCACCCAGGCATCCTAGTCCTGACCCCCAGCACTGTGGTCATTCCACTCCAAGCTCTCCAAGTAGGGTGACTGCCCATGGGAACAGGGGCAAGGCAGAGACCAACTCAGCCTCATTCCTGCAATAAAAAGGCTTGGAATCCAGATACCCAAAGGTGAATGGTTACCAACTGAAGGAAGGGAGACTTGCTTTCCTGAAAGCCTGGCTGCTTGCATGATGCTTCTTGTGCATGCAGGGAACTATAAACAGAGTGATTGCCACTTGCACTGAGAGGCACTTACGCTCCCCAGAAACTACTCTGATTTCCTTTCAGGTTTAGCAGGAAAAGGAAGTGGTTTCCAGGAGCCAGACAGTTACACACCATCTGCCAGGTGCGCATGCAATCGCAGGACAGTTGGCAACGCAAGACTGCTCAACCCCACAGTGTGTTTCCCCCATGACTAGAGTGTTTCAGTGCATCAATGGAAAAAGAAAAAAAGCATGAAATCATGTAACCACAAGTCAACTTGTGACCACAGGAGCTGACCGCAGAGGGCACTTACTGATTACACGTGGTAACTGTCCTGCCGCATGATATCACACGGCAGGTTTTCATCGGCTACATGTTTCGGGACCAACTGGCACTTCCCCGCCTATGAGATAATTTCAGGTGTACAAAACTGCCACTCAGGGTCAAGCAACCAGCTGTGAAACAGGTAAATTTCATGAGTCCATCTGCCATCGTCAGCTGATCCAAGGGGATTCGGTTCTGATAGGGCAGGTGCAGTGCAGTATTTTCTTACCATTAGCGCATCTCAGCTCTGGCTGCTCCACACAAGGGACAGCAGAGAGGCGGCAGCCACTTTGACTGAAATAAAACTGTGAGTGGGACCCCCCCGCCCCCCTCCAAGGAAGCTTTGGAAAGCTGGAGCCTTTTGCCGCCTCTAATTGCTTTCTAGGGTCTCCCCCCTGGTTGGCCATTCGGAGCAGTAATAGAATGATCAGGATGGGGAATGTTACGGGAATGCCCTCATCTTTTCAGCCGAACACCAGCTATTTTCCCAGCTGGGCAGGTTTCTGCTCTCCCCCCCCCCCAGCCCCAAGAGCATGGAATCAGGTGTCTGAACATTTTGATGTTCACTTTAAAATCCTTCCATTTAAAATAGCACCCACCAGCTGGGGAGGGGGTCGCTCGGTCTGGACTGAACACCCTGCACAGTATGGGATTGGGGACTTTCAAAGGGGATGTTATTGAAGAAAGGCTTTAAAGAGCAACAGGAAGCCCTAGTAGCTTGGGAATCTGGGGTTGACGGAGCAGGCTTGAATTTCAGTTTAAACCTTTCCCCGGGGACCTGCTATTGCAGATGTGTTCAGGCATCGGCCGTCACTGCCCCCGCTGACTCTGTCTGCTTCAGCCCTTGGCTCCTGGCCCCTCCCCTCCAAGCTCACATTGCCAGCTGTACCTATCACCCGATGTTCCTCTCTGTCTCTGGCCTGTACTGCGCACACCAAGCTCAGCTTGTCAGGCATAACTGGCTGAATCCAGGGGTTAAGAAGTGATGTTTCAGTTCCCAGTCAGGTGGCAGAGCCAGAGCAGTGGGATTCCTGAAGACGCCAGTTGAACAGAAGACTCTGTCCATGGCTGAGATGGTGCCCATCCATCCCCCACGGGGCAGATAGGGGAAGGACTTATCTTGCTACTGCAATGAATTATTAGACTGTAGGAGCAGCATCTGTTGGGACAATTTAGCTTTGTGCCTTGGACATACAGAAAGACGGACCTATGTGGCTTTCTTGGGACCCAGGAACTTGCACAGAAGATGCTTATGGTAGATGTCAATGGTGTGAACATCCAGAGGGCCATACTCTGCGAGGGGCAGCCAGACCCTCCCTAATCCTAAGAGACAGCACACGTCATGGCTCAAAACTTGGAAATGGCCTGTGGGTTCCCCTTGTTGTGGATCACTCCATGGTTCCCAGCAAGGACCAACCCCCGGGGCTAGGAGGGCCGTTTACAGCAAGAGTAACCCGTACATTGCGACAAACACCCAGGAGCCTTCCTACCTGCTGCTTCACAGGGATGTCTCTGACTGGCCTTCTGGGGAACCCGTTGGGCTCGCATGTTCTAAAGACGTCTCCAGCGCTGCCTTCGCTGTGGGCCGAATGGAGGATGCTGCTGATACTTCAGTAGCAAGTGTCCTTTAGCCACTGCATTCTCCTTCCAGGATGGGATTCGTTCACGGCATCAAGGTGGATTTCAGAGCAAAGAACCTCATTGTCCTGACCTTCTGCATCAGTGGGACCCACTGGGAATCAAGCCACAGGCTCACTGGAAATATAGAAATACGGAACCAGGTAAACCAGATTTCAAGTCCTAATATCGCCTTTTTCTTGATTTTTATTTGTCTTGACCTAAACGAAAGCAAGGCTGCGCTGCGGCTAGCTCTGAGTTTCCAAAGGACCTGGGCAAAGGGACCCCTACACTCTAGACATCTGTCTGTGACCTTCTTGCCTCCCCGACCATTTCAGATCACACATTGATTCAGACGCTCAGCCTGAAAAGTAGGGGAGTCTGCAGCCATGGAGTGGGGGGAAGTGCCATGGTCTGTGGGGTGGTTCAGGGGAGATATGGATACAGGGGGGCCCATAAGGTGCTGGCTTCATAAGGGGAGACTATTGCTTGTGGCCCTTTGCTAGAACTGGCCCGGTGCAGCATTCTGGAAACTGGGAATAATCATGTAGCCTCTTTTCAATTCTGTCTATCGGCTCCAGTACGATGTATTTTATTGATCCATACTCCAGTCCCTGCCACCTTATCCATTCTGTGGACAACTTCATAACAGAGAGAGCCAGGCTCCCCTTCCTCCCAACCCCTATTTCTTAGCTCTCCACGTCTTGTTGTGCGGTTCCCTGGAGGCCCCTGGACTCCGGGCCGAAAGGTCCTGTGCCAGGCTGGCTGGTGGAAACTCTGCTCGTCTCTGTGATCTGGTTTATTCTATGGGTTCTGAACACTGCTGTGCACCAGCTCCATTAATGTTACACTCACTGTGCTCACATATGTACACGGGGCCCGTTGCCAGGTAGCAGGGCACCGTAGAAAGGTCAAAAACACAGAAATGGAAACCAAGCTGGGCCCAGTGACCCCATTCTGCCAAAATGAGGAGGAAAAAAGATCCAGAAAGGACGAGCTGGTGAAGAAGACAGGCCAAGATGCTCAATGACAAACAGATCTGAATAGAAAGGCCCTGTGCTAGGACTCAAAGAGAAAGAATTTGTTCTTTGGGATTAGCATCCTATTTAACTCAAGACCTTGACCAGAGGCACAGTGGCTTATCCCTTGGGAGAGAAGCTGATTCCACAATTACACTCCCCACTAAATTATTGTCCATCCCCCTGTATCACCCAAGTTTCTTCAGAGAAGAGAAATCTGGGTCCCTTCTCCCAAAGCTCAACATTCTGGCCAATCAACCTCCCCGTCTAATTCACCCCGCCGATGGGACGCCTGGGCCACAAAGCAGAAGCAAGCAGCTGCTGGGATATTTTTGCACAGCCGTGTGTCACTGTGCGTATGTCTTCGGCGGTGGAACCCAGTTGACCGTCCTTGGTAAGTCACTCTAATATTCATTTACAATCGTTTCCCAGTTGTTGCGAGTTTTGAATTTTGTTCCTTTGTCTCCCCTTCTCAACTTCTCTATCTATTCCAGGCTGGGTGCTCTTCTACTCTGTCCTAATCACCATGAAAATGTGTGCATGGACAGAGGGGGGGGTTGCTCTGTTGAATGACAAAACGCAGGTCCTGTGTAGTTACAGATTTTTCCACTTGTAAAAATGTTTTTGCCCTTTTGTTACTGATGAGTCCCCACTGATCAAAGCTTTGGTCACATAACAGGGTTTTGTTTTATTACAGGCTATAGGTGTGTGTGTGGGCGGGGGTACCTCCTAATTTCAGAGCCCAGCAAATTGTATTTTAATTGTTTATCTAACAAAACTTTCTATGTCAGTTTTCACTCTCTGATGGAAAGATTCCCAGGTAAGGCTATGGTAACGAGGAGAAAATATTCAGGAGTTTGAGATATAAGGTTTTAGTTTCGTAGACGACTGGTCAGTCCTGCAGCCAAAAAAGAAAAAGTGTCTTTGTTTCAGAAATGGTCAAAAATGACAGCTGCTTTTTGGTTTTTTTGTGTCTGATGCTTTTCCTGAGATTATGCTGGAAAACTTAGACGGTTTTGGTGAGAATTTTCAACTCAGGGAAAGAAAATAGGAGTGGTCAATGAGCTGAGAGAGAGAGAGAAACTCCTCTTGAAAACATAGGTGGATGTTTTCGGTCATCCAGGGGGCAGAAGCAATTAAAAGGAGACTTTGAATTCTCAGGTGCAATTAAAAGGGATACAGAGCAAATGACTTCTTCTTGAAACATGAGACACCCTCTTTTGCAAATAGCCTGTTCAGTTTTAAGCATCTGGCTGGCTAGTCACTGTTGTATCGGAGCTTGCAGAGACTGAAAAGAGCCAGAGAAGGATTTCTCCTGGTCAGGCAGTTACTTAGATATTACTGCAATGGGCGCAAGGAATACCTGCGGTAGCTAGATAGGCAACAAAAATGGTCTTAAATAGCGAGACTCACATACGGATGAGGAACTGCTCCAAGTAGGACTCTGTCGCTTGGAATAGAGAGGTGCAGGAGAGGATTCAGTCGAAGTGTTTAAGGTTATGAATGAATTATTGTGATTGTTAACAAGCGAGCACGGCTCACTCCTCCTTTTTGACTGCCCGTTGAGCCACGGGGTCTCTAGGTGGAACGGCTGGCAAGTATGTATTCGCTAAGTAAAAGGGTGTGTTATCCCCTGGGGAGATGATAGAGTAGAACACTGTAGCTTGAGTTAACAAGAAGCTGGATAATTTTATGACCAGTTAACTCCACTGTTCTGTGACTTGCACATGCAAAGACAAGGGAATTGATATCTTGTGCTTCGGGACAGAGGATGATCATTGCGACAGGACAAAAGCATGTCCCTGCCCAGCACTGCACAGCTGCATTGAAACGGGCCAGACTATGAATTCAGTGGGATCTGTGATGGCACAGTGCCTCTGAGAATCAGATCAATAGGAATTGCTGTACAGTGTCAGACCACTGAGCTGGCAATTACCACACATGCTTAGGAGGAAAGTGACCAACCCTTATTAGCTAATTTTCAGAAGTGCTGGGCGCCCATAGCTCCCAATAGCAGTGCTGGGTGCTCAGCGTCTCTGAGAATCAAGCCGTGTGTGCAGGTCTGAACATGTCTGTGCAGTCAGAATATGCAGAACTAAGTCAAGGGATGATTTCCTTTGGGAGTTTAGCCACAGATATTTATTCCTCTCTACTAGGGAGAGGGAAACCAGCAGCAGATAGGGTCACACCAGCAATGTTCAAAATTTTTTTTTTTTTTTGAGAAAGCTTCTCTTAAAACATCTAGGACAGTGGTTTTCAACCCTGGGGGGCCACGGACTATGGCTAAGGTTGTCAAAGGGGTCCACGCCTCCATTCAAAATCTTTGAAGGGTCCGCAAATGAAAAGAAGGTTGAAAGCCACTGAACTAGAAATTTTAGATATTCTGATGGGACGAACGTTGTCATTTAAGAGAAAATGAACCCCGATCCAGAAACAATGGGCCAAATCTGCTCTCGGTTACATTGGTGTAAATCTGGAGTAACTGGATTCACTTCGTCCTAGAAGATATTAAAATGATGGGTTCTCCTGCCAACAGCGTGTTTGTGTGTGTGTGTTTGTGTGTGTATACACACACACACTAACACAAACATTTTATATATATATATTGGCCTCTCTCAATCAAAGCCGTGAATTTACAATAGCTGAGAATCTGACCACAACCTTGAGCTCTGAGTGACTATCATTGACCACTGAATCCAGTGGGCCTCTGTGCTAGCACATGGGTCCCCTTGGGGGAACTCATTGCAGGATAAGGGCTTAAGTCTCTGAAAGATCAGTTTCCCTTCAGGAGGAGGGAATCTTATCGGTTATTGGTTGCTACTTATCGGTTGCAGCATTAACTGCAATGTAGCACTGAACAATCATTGATGAAACACAGGGAACTCTAGATGGCTCTCTGCTTCTCTTGATTGTTCGGCAATCAGTGCTGTGAATATTAGCCGCTCTGGCAGTTGTTAGCAAGGAGGTTTCTTTAAACATGAGCTGAAATTGACTTCTGAAAATATTGGGCCATATTCTTCTCGGTACTGTGGCAAAAGTGCATTGACTACACAGGATTTACACAGCGTAGATGAGAGGAGAGTTTGCCCCAGAGACGCAGGTTAACTAAAGATATATCTTTGAATTGCCAAACGCTGTACAACTGAACGCAGGAGAGCGAGCCCTTCCGGCTCTCTACTCCGATAAAATATTGCCCCACTCCTGCAATTGGATCCACACAGGCATACTCACAGAGCATCTTTGAAGCCAATAGGAATCCAGCCCGGGCCGGTGGTATGGACCTGATTGCAGGATCAAGGCCTAAGAGGCTAAATTTCTCTGACTTGAACACAAAGAAATAATCTGACGTAGCAATGCCCCGGAGTGATTGTGAACTCTGCAGTAACGGAGCTATGGGATTAAATGTTGGCTTGTGCCAGGTCAGCCGTCGGCTGAGCATTTCTCAGTAAAGGGCCATTCATTCCCACTAATGTGATGTTCAGCTGTTATAGCTGTAGAGCCAATGAGGTCGTAATGGACAAGATTATTAATGCTAGGACCAAAGGCCTAATTCCAGGCAAGCAGGATATCTGCAGTGGGAGAACTGTGCCCACAGGAATTATCAATGTAGGGTGCCGTGACAGATTCTGAATCTGTGGAAACTTTGATGCTGCCTATGGGCCATAATCTATCCTAAATCTTTGCACAAAGAATCTGATCCAGCAGAGCAATTAAGCACGTGCTTAACTTTAAGCGCATGAGTAGTCAGTCTATTGACTTCCAGGGGATGGCTGATGCATGCATCTAAGTGCTCAACTGGATTAGGGCCCTAGTTCTTATTTTAAGGGCCCAAATTTTGCTTTTGGTTTCTCTGATGCAATCAAATTAACATCAGTGGCTTAACATTTCCCTCAGTACCTGCCTCAATGTGAGCTGAATTTGCCGACATGCGGCCCCAAAGTATTGAGAAAACAGTAAGAATAAAAACTTGAAACACACTATGTGAGTTCTCTGCCGTGTATGGAGTATCCTGCAGGAGGAGATACTGAAGGGGCACAAATTTCTAGAATACCAACAAACCAATTTAAGTAGCTCTCAGGTCAGGCAGGATTCCAAATCAGAGCTAAACCTGGAGCCCTCTGAAACATCCACTTTTCCTACAGCCAGCGACACAAGATGGCAAATGCTAGCTGGCAGTTTTAAAGATAGATATGTTAGAGCCAGATGACAGCAGACCAGCCATAGCGGAGTGCCATTTTGCATATGAAAGCAACAGCTGCTTTCGATGTTCTGAGGGCAGCTCGCAGCAGATCAAACGTGGTTGACTCAAAGAATAAGCCAGCTACATTCCTCGGCCCTGAATTCCTGGGCAATCATGCAAATGCAGCGTCAGTGCCATATGGTTCCTTAGCTGGTGGGAGAGGGAACAAGTACAAGGAGAGATGCTGGGGGATGTTTAACACGGGAGATCATTATATTGGGCTAGCGCAGTGTTTTAGCTGAACTTAGCTTTTCCTGTTCTACTCCACTCTATCTTTACCAGATAGAATCCGGGGATATAGGTGAGCTTTCATTTGATTTTTAATGGTAAGACTTTGTAGTTACAAAGCAGCATTGATTTACAGTTCAGGCAGTTTCTCCCTCAGGCCCCACAGACTTTATTTAAAAAAAAAAAAACTTTATAGACCCGAAGAGCCAGATCCTCCACTGGTGTCATGGAACTACATTGATTTATAGTAGGTGAGGATCTAGCTCAAAATATCTAGTACCTTGGATTCTGCACTGGCAGCGTCTGAATTTGATGTTCCACTGTGTATCTGAATTCTCTTTGGCTTTGTTCCTAATCTGACTCTGAATCTACTTGTCTTGTAGGTCAGCCAAAGGCATCTCCTACCATGCACCTCTTCCCTCCATCCTCGGAAGAGATCAAAACAAAGAGCAAAGCCACACTGGTGTGTCTGCTGGGCAGCTTTTACCCAGGCTCAGTCCAAGTCACCTGGAAAGCTGACGGCAAGCAGCTGTCTACTGGAGTGGAGACGACCAAGCCATCCAAACAGAGTGACAACAAGTTCATGGCCAGCAGTTACCTGTCTCTGGATGCATCAAAGTGGAAGAGCCATGAGACCTACACCTGCCTGGTGACACACGATGGGAAGAACTTCGAGAAGTCCCTGAAGAGCTCAGAGTGTTCTTAACCCTTTCACCCCCAGAGGGCTCGGCCAGTTCCCAGATCAGTCACTAGAGAGTTTCCCAAAAGAGCTGGGATCAGTCTGTAGCATCACCTTAATGCTGATCTCCAGCAGCTCTGCTTCCTGTTTGATGTGGGGGATCTTTGATGATCCCTTTGATATCTTCTTTTAGTCCCATGTTCCCACTGCTCTCATCCCTCTGCATTCCCTGGAATTCTCCTTCCTGCTTTAGTCTCTGATGCAGCCTTGTTATGATATTAATAAAACCAGATACATTCAGCTATCGCTGTGTCTGTGAAGAGTTAAAATTATTGCCTCTTTCAAATGTTTTTAAAAAGTTGTTTATCATGATTCTGCAATAAAAGATGGACATTTATCTGCCAATAGTTTATTCTTCTGGTTCCAAATGCTGGACTGATTTCTATTAATTTATCTGTCAGTAACTTATTCCCAGCAAATATCAGTAAGATTTAGTAGCCACTGGGTAAGATGTGTTCATAGTTATAAAACTCTCTCTTGGATTTTCATCTGGAGTAGATTGGCACCATGCCATTGAATTCGGTGGATTGAGGCCGATTTACGCCCGCCGATGAGCTCACCTTGTTTGCTTTTGTCTAGAAATAAAACCACTAGCACCAAGCTTGGGAGTTACACTGAGTCTGGTGGAAGGTGTTACTGCTCTAAGCAACAGAGGTTGCAGCTGCCAGGGCAGAAATATTCTGGTGGGACCCACTGCCCGGTTTCTCTTGGGAGCTCCTATGGTCTGAACTCAGCCATCTGCAGGGCGCTGAGCAGAAAGCTTGAGTTCCACTTAAACACTATGGTGCAAGCATAAGTGGGTCTTTCTGTTAGTGGCACCATTGGTCTTTTGCTGGCTCGCTGCACAAGAGCGTCACTTGACCCACCTTCAAATGGCGTAACTGGAACACGAACAGTCCCACTCAATTCACTGAGTATCTCTGGCTGCTGGTGTCCCTGGCCACCCACAAGTCACAAAAACAGCAATGCAGCCAGGGAAACGTACCTTCCCATAGAATGCCAAACTGCACTGTGCTTCTCTGTGTGGGACCAGCTATTCGTTCGCAGGGCCAGATGGCTATGGGTTTGTCAATTACAAACAAATGTTATTAGGTAGGAGGAGCTTTGAATAGATTTTTTTAAAATCAAAAGATCTTTGTTCCGAGCTGCTGTATCCCTGTTCCTTCTCCCAAAGGTGAATGTCTCAACAGTGACCCTGCAGCTCCAATAAGAGTGTAAACAGATTATAATTTACCAACAGAGACCTGGCAAATACAGTCATAGATACATTTACAGTTACAAATCTGAACTCCAAATGAAAATACGTCCTCTGTAATAACTTGAAAAGCCATAAAGCCCCCCAAGGGAGAGATTATATTGGTCAGTCCTAGCTCCATTTATCTGTGGTCTGTCATTCATTGTGCTATAGGGTCATCATTACTGAAAAGAATTCTTATTGAATGTAAATGGTTTGCCTGGTCCTTAGCACACAATCTCAGCTGCTCACACAGATATAGCCAGCCTGGACCTGGAAGCATGGGTACAGCTAGTAACAGAATTCATGGAGGGTGAAATTCACCCTCTGCAATGGCCTTCATGAAGCCAATGAACCATTTACATGAGCAGGGCTTCAATAGTACATAGGCCTCCTGCAGGACTCCTGATTTACACCCTAAGAGAAACCACCAGGGAAGCAAGAGTTCAAGGCCCCTGTGTCCCAGGCTGGTACTGGGTCACCATGCTACAGGAAAAGAGAAGGCTAAGATCAAGCATAGCCTGGTGGAATAGCTAGTTTTACTCCAGGCCCTGAGGTTTTTTCCCCCACATGTGATTTCCCAGTCTGCTGTGGCACCTACGCAAGCTAAATCAAGTGTAGGGGAAAGAAACCAAATAACTCTATAATGCCAATTTTTTAAAAAGACTCAAGAGGTGATCCTGGCAATTACAGGCTGATAAGCCTAACTTCAGTATCTGGCAAATTGGTTGAAACTATAGTAAAGCTCCGAATTATCAGACACAGAGATGAACTTGATATATTGGGGAAGAGTCAACATGGCTTTTGTAAAGGAAAAAATCACACCTCACCAATCTATTAGAATTCTTGAGGGTGTAAACAAGCATGTGGACCATGATGATCCAGTGGATATAGTATACTTTGACTTTCAGAAAGCCTCTGATAAGGTCCTACCCCAAAGGCTCTTACACAAAGTAAGTACTCATGGGATAAGAGGGAAGGCCCTTGCATGGATCAGTAACTGCTTAAGGGATAGGAAACAAAGCGTAGGAATAAATGGTGAGTTTTCACTATGGAGAGAGGTAAATAGCAGGGATTTGGACTGGGACCAGCGCTGTTCAACATACTAATAAATGATCTGGAAAAGGGGATAAACAGTGACGTGGCAAAGTTTGCAGATGATACAAAATTACTCAAGATATTTAAGTCCAAAGCTCACTGCAAAGAGTTGCAAAGGGATCTCACAAAACTCCACAAAATAGCAGATGAAATTCAATGTTAATTACATAAACCCAACGACACGTATAAAATGATGGGGTCTAAATTAGCTGTTACTACTCAAGAAAGAGATTTTGAAGTCATTTTGGATAGTTCTCTGAAAACATCCACTCAATGTGCAGAAGCAGTCAAAAAAGCTAACAGAATGTTAGGAACCATTAAGAAAGGGATAAATAATAAGGCAGAAAATATCATATTGCCACTTTATAAATCCACAGTACACCCACACCTTGAATACTGCGTGCAGTTCTGGTCACCTCATCTCAAAAACAATTTAATAGAAGTGGAAAAGGTACTGAGAAGGACAACAAAAATGATTAGGGTATGGAACAGCTGCCATATGTGGAGAGATTGAACACACTGGAACTGTTCAGTTTAGAAAAGACACGGCTAAGGAGGGATATGACAAAGGTCTATAAAATGATGAATGGTGAGAAGAAAGTGAATAAGGAAGTGTTATTTACCCCTTCTCATAACACAAGAACCAGGGGTCACCCCATGAAATTAATAGGCGGTGGATTTAAAACAAACGTAAGCAAGTACTTCTTCACACAACACACGGTCAACCTGTAGAACGCGTTGCCAGGGCATGTTGTGAAGGCCAAAAGGATAACTAGGTTTAAAAAGAATTAGATAAGTTCATGGAGGATAGGTCCATCAGTGGCTATTCGCCAAGATGGTCTGGGATGCAACCCCATGCTCTGGGTGTCCCTAAGCCTCTGACTGCTAGAAGCTGGGACTCGACGACAGGGGATGGATCACTGGATAACTACCCTGTTCTGTTCATTCCCTCTGGCACAGCCAGAGTTAGAAGACAGGCTAGATGGACCATTGGTCTGACACAGTCTGGCCATTCTTATGTTCTTTATGTAGAGTCATTATGAAGTGACTCAGGACAATCCAGCTACCTCCTTTCCAAGGCCCCACGTGGTGTCATTGTGAGCGATAGTGCAGTCACTCTCCATGCTCAGGCTCATGCAGCTCTCAGATGTTTCTGCCCTTCACACAGAAACTCTCAACAAAGCACCCTGGGCCGTGACAACAGCTGTACCGTGCCTTGGAACCTGGCCATTCAGTGAGCACGTCAGTAAGGGCCGTGCCTTTGTAACAGGCGAGGGGTGCTGTGTGGAGCTGCCCCACCCCTGCAGGACTCTGGGGAAGGTGGCATCTCAGCCAGGCCTGGTCTCTCTGGTGCTGTCACCTATGCATGGGGATTGGACAATCTGCTCCTTCCATTAGGATGCTCCCGCCCCACTCACTGGCGGGTTTGCCCTGCTCCCTCGCCAGCTCTTTCCCAGATTCACTATATAACCCTTTCCAATGGGAACAGCATCCCCGGCGAAATACTCTCCTGTTTGCCAGCCCTTGCTGGCATTCGGCTGTCACTGCCACCAGACTTGATTGCATTGCTGAAACTATGATATTTCTTTGTACACAGTGAACGTAAGAACATAAGAACGGCCAGACTGGGTCAGGCCAAAGGTCCATCTAGCCCAGTATCCTGTCTTCCAACAGTGGCCAGTGCCAGGTGCCCCAGAGGGAATGAACAGAATAGGTAAACATCAAGTGATCCATCCCCTCTTGCCCATTCCCAGCTTCTGGCAAATGGAGACTAGGGACACCATCCCTGCCCATCCTGGCTAATAGCCATTGATGGAGCTATCCTCCATGAATTTATCTAGTTCTTTTTTGAACCCTGTTATGGTCTTCGCCTTCGCAACATCCTCTGTGGATGCACAAATGGGGCATGGGTATTATATTTTATTAGCAATGAATTGGCTAGCATTTCCAAAGGAGTCTAAGCAATCAAAGTGCTCAGACCCTGTTGATTTCCAATGGGAGCTGGCACCATATTTGCAGCCCTCTTTGAAAATCCTACTTGTATTGTGTGTACAGTTTGGATTTTCTTTGGGGTTTTTATGGGTTTGGCCCCCATGTAAATACAAACAGATACAAAAAAACAGCCCCCACATTACTCTGCTGCTGGCGGGTGAAGTGAAATTCCCTCTAGTGCAGAGAATCACCACAAGGGTTACACACCACTTCAGTCCCACCTACATCTCCATTTAGCCTATGGCCATCCATTACGAGTCTTTAATCCAGCAAATGAAGGGTTAATGAACCAGTGGCCAAAGCAATCATCAGGCACAAGTAATGCCGCCTGAGGAACCTGAGCAAAAGGAAAACAGGCCCCGATTCAGCAGAGCAGTTAAGCATGTGCCTACCTTTAATTAAAGTTAAACATCTAGATGAGCCACTCCGGAACAATTCAACAGTTAGGGTGTGCATGTTAGCTCTTACTCGGGAGCTTTTACTCACCTGAGTTAGTCTCATGGATTTCCAGAGGACCGTTAGGGTGAGGAAGTGCTCACCAATGGGTGAAATTCACCCTGTGCAGAAGACCTGCATAATGTCTATGTACCACTGAAGTCCTACATAAGTCCTGTTAAGTTGGATTTAAATGGAACCTAGGCCTGTACAGAGCCTAAACCCAGGGGTGACTTCACCCTGCTCTGGGTAAGGGACACATGACCCTGCCCTCAACTGGGAGAATGATGAAGTCACTGAACCTATCAAATCAGAAAGTGCCACATTAGAGGTGTGAGGGGATTTCGAATAACCCAAATCACCTTCAGTAGAAGAGCTACACATTCATCGCTGAGAACTAGACACAACCCCGGATGCTCACCCCAAGCTGCGACTGCAAAGAATTCTCCTGCTCGTCACGGGTTCCCAAGCCCATAGATGCTGAACACTGGTAGTGCTTGTGGAGTGAACTTTAGAGCCTCTGTCAGGCCTGAAAACCACTGTCCAGGGGCGTATGTAAGGTCTGGTTCACTGGAGTCAAGGCAGCTGTGTCACTGACTTCAGTAAGTGCAAGATCAAGCGCTATAAACAGCTTCAACTATGGCCCATTAATGAGGAAATTAGGCTGGTACCATTCACTTCCTTGCCCCTCCTGAGCTGAGACACACCAGGTGCTAAAGGGAGTTTGTATTTACAGTCAGAGGGAGGGTCCAGGGCCCTGGTTTAATTCATAAGAAACCAGCTGAGCATGGACACAGCTCACAGCCTGGATGTTTACTGGCCCTGCCTTTGGCGAGAGGGGCACCACACGCCCACGCTCTGCTGGGCAGCAGACACCAGAGCAGCTCCCCTAAGGTCAGGGGGAGGGAATAGCCCAGCAATGATGGGAGTCTCATGGCAGCTCTGTCCAGGGAGACAGCGCTGGGGTTTACTGCTGAGAACAGCTGGGAAATACAGAGCAAATGGCAGTAGATGATGGCACTCTTAATTTCTAAAGGCAACTGGGTTGCTCCCTTGAGGAAAGTGCTGACGTCTCCTGCATACTGGACATTGGGTGAGCAGACATGCTCTCTATTGATACCAGCATTGCCTTGTATTGGTATCAACAGGGTCTGAAGCATATGCCAGCTGTAGGATGGAGATGAGTCTTACAAGCACCAAAGGTTCTGAGCATCTTGACTGGCTCCTGGCTTCCAGAGAGACTGACAGTAACACCTACTTCTGATCCATTGCTTGTCAACCATCCAGGATTGTCCTGGAGTCTCCAGGAATTAATGATTAATCTTTAATTAAAGATTATGTCATGTGATGAAACCTCCAGGAATAGGTCCAACCAAAATTGGCAAACCCTACTGCTGGGGTTCAGACAGAGCGTGGTGGCAATCAGTTTCATGGCACATGGATCTTGAGCCCTTCCTCAGGCGTATCCAATGTGGAGACTTCACCAGCCCCCTGCATGGCTCAGCTGAGAGCGAACACAGGACGTCATGACACAGCTTCTTGCAGAGACTCAGAGCGACCCCCTGGCCCCCTGGACGAGCTGAAGATCCCAATCAGGTAAGTTAGGACAATGGGGGAGGGGACGTCTTAGCTTCTCATGGACAGGTGCAGAGAGGCTGCGCTATTCAGAGAGTAGACGAGGACAGCACGTGGTTTGGATCACACCCGATCCACGTGTGTGCAGCCCCTGGCATGTCTGATCTGTCTCTTCACTGACACTTATTGGTGGGTCACCGGGACATGCTGTACATTAATTAGGTCGAGAAAGATGCTGGTGCTCACAAACGTGTGGGGTTCTGGACACGTACTTTCTACGTGTGGTTATCGCAACCGTAACATACACGACAGCTCGTGCGCCTCATTCTTTACCCGACGTAATTCCACCGAAGTCAATACAATGGCACCAGTGACGAATGTGGCCCAGTATTGGCCTGTCCTGGCCAAATGGCAGTGGAGGGACCAACACGCAGTCCAGTTGTGTACGTGCCCTCCAGCACCCAGACCTGTTCTCCACGGGCTCCAGGCACAGCAGCACAGATCCACAGCCGGTGCGGGGGTTGGGGGAGCGCTGTAGTGGTGGGACCCAGCACGGTAGCAGAGCACAGAGCTCCTTTGGTTCCCTCTAGGTACCATTACGCCCCCATCACTGTAGTGCCTGAGCATCTCTGAGACACGACAGAACTTATCCTTACACCACCCTCGGAGGCACGGAAGTGCTGCCCCATTTTACAGACGGGGAATGGAGGCAGAGAGAGGGTGTCATTTGCTCAAAGATACAAAGTCAGTGGCAGAGCCAGGACATGAACCCCGCTCTCCTGACTCCCAATCCACTGCCTTAACGACAAGCCCATCTTCTGCTCTCTTATGTGGGCTGTCTGCGGGGACCAGGATTTGGCCTTATTCTGAGTTCTCCCAAGGAATACTCCATTGCTTCATTTCCCAGTGAATCTTCACTCCTCCGATTGTACGATGAGTTTCTCCGGAAAGGATAAACCTGCACTCCCATGGGGTGCCAGTGGAAATTGCCCCGTACCTCTTTTTCCCCCCTCACGGGCAGTGCTGGCGACCTCTCCCTGCCATCGACTGGGACAGGTTTTTGTACAGCCATGTGTCACTGTGGTGGATCTTCGGTGGAGGAACCCAGCTGACCGTCCTTGGTAAGTCACTGAATTACTCTCAAACTTTCCTCCTCCTGGCTGTATGGTACGTTTTCCATGGTTTTTTTCCTGCTTTCTTTGTCTTCATCTTGGGCTCGGGACTCCTCTCACTTTATATATGGACCTTTACACTGTCTTGGGAAGAACGTTTAGTCTCTCTGGATAGTCATAGCAAGTGTACATGGCCCATGTTGGATTTTGTTTTCTTTTCCCACTCAAGAGAAGTTTGAATTTGACCATGAAACCTATTGAGATTCTGCCACTGGGTCCCCATTTACGATGACCTAGTTTTAGCCCCTTCAGGAAAAGATTTTCCCTCTTTTTCTTTTCGGGTATGAACTATTTCTCATTAGCACCGGGTGCTAGTCAGTGTATGAAAGAAATCCCGGGCCAGCTTCTCCGGTGCCGTACAATGCCCTAGCTCCATTGTCCGCAATAGACCTCCACCAGCACTCACCCCAGGATCCTGCAGACAGGTGTCCAATCCCATGACATCTCATCTGCTATAAAAATCCTTGCTCCCTGGTGATTTAAAATCGGATTTGTTGGGGGCCGTTGGAAGGGAATGCTTAGGAATGAGAGCTGGGCAGAAAATATGGTTTTCTTCTGTGAATAATTTCAGAAAAAGCAAAACAAAAAAACATTTTCATCTCAATGGGCCCAAAATCCCAAACAAGCATTTTCAGCTGAAAACCGAGAATGCTTCAGTTATTGAGAGGTTTTGGCTTAAGATTTCCACTTTTTCCATTTTCGGATTTTCAACAAAAAAATGATTTTTTTTTTTGAGAAAAGCAGATACTTGCCACAAAAATATTCATTCAGTGGAAAACCAATTTTCCATTGAAAATGGTTTTGATGGTCATTTTCAACCAGCCCTATTTGTAGCATTGCTCAATTGGAGCTAGACAAGGGACTGATCAAATTTTAAAAATAGATAGCCAGGTCCCCACATGGTGTAAATCCACGTACCTTCCTTGCCAGCAATGGACTACACTGATTTACGCTTACCCTGAGTGAGTCTAATTGCACTGACTGACTTACTCCTGACACTGAAGATCTGCTCCATTGTACCTTGGAGAAAATTGGATTTCAGTGTGGATGTGCAACCCAAACCCACCCAAAACCTTTCAGATATGCAAGATATTAGTTAAATGGAGTGGGGTGGGAGCAGCCTGCAGGGGGAAGGGATTTAAAGAGGTTGCACTAACTGTGCACTAACAAGGTTGCTGGCCAGTCTGAAAGGCTGGACGGCTTCATAGAGGCTGGATTGTGTGTCTGCCAAGCTCAGAGCTCAGTGATCAGGATGCTGGCTGGACCAGCCGGCTTCACTTACAGAACAGCCTAGGGGACCTAGTGCACCTGGCTTAGCCAGGGCTCGGTAAGTCAGGGCTGACAGTATTAGCTCAAATACCATCCTTGGCTGCTTTGACCTACATAAAGCGTGAAATAATTAGGGCCCAGACTGCGGGAGCCCTACTCATGCCGAGTAGCACATTGCTTTTCATACAGTCCCACTAATGTCATGGGACCGACCGCCTGTGGAGTAAGGCGCAACCTGGCGCGAGGACGGGCATCCCAATTTGGCCCCAGCGCCAAGGCTGCTGCTGCAGAAATGTTACTAAGAGTTTAAAAATTCCCCAAACTTTTGCGTCCCTTCTTAAGCAGGTAGTGCCTTCTTTGCCCCCCCGTCTCTATGCAGTTACACAGCACAGCACCAGGCTAGGGCCCAGGGGAATCTACTCTGCCCCCACCATGAAATCAACCCTCAGTGTGGTAGTTTGCAAGGTCCTTTTCCTCTGGTCTTGAGCCCCAATCTAGCAAAACACTCAGATGCACACTGGATCGGGCCCTGAAGCAGGGATTGGTCCCATAAATGAGTCTGTACTTTACAGCTGCTGAACACAAGCTTGCTTCGTAACTAGGCTGTTCAGCAACAGGAACAGGCAACCAGGCTGTGGTAGGAGATTGTTTGTCACCCAGGTGTTAAGCAGAAGATCTGACCCTTAGCGGAGAGACCTACAGACCCAGACAGACAATGATGATTCAACAATGGGTTTATCGACCCACTTGGCAGAATAGAGAATTTATCCCTGCTGTGGAATTCCATAGGATGGTTCACAAACAAACTCCCCCCCCCACCTCAAAACTTCAGAATTTTATACTACTTTCTATAAAACACTATTTAGTGCATGTAGCTCTCCCATCCTATGCTTTGGATCCTACTGTTTTGTTTTTTTTTCTAATTATCTGTTATAGCATTTTTTTCATTTGGAAATATGTGGGTTACCCCACATTCCTCTGTGACTCTAGTGAAGCAGCCCCCAAGGCCTGAACAGGCAAATTAAACTCTAAGCTTAGACCCTAAGAAATAGCCCCATTCTCAGATAGACTGTTCTTGAGAAATGAGAGAGAGTGTTTTCACCATGGAAATATCTTCCTACTTAATTCAATGAGTAGCACCTTCCTCTGCACTAAATGGCACCATTTGAGAAGGAAGGTGCTACTCAATGTGAGGAAAGGTATCAAAATCTTGCACTTAATAGGGAGGAATTCTCTGCAAACTGCCGAGGTTGCTAGCTGTTCAGAAGTCGTATTTCCCTTTCTCTGAGCAACAATGAATGAAAAGGTGAGCTTGGAAACAATCCTGATAATACTTCGCACTTCTACAGCACCTTCCACCAAGTGTCTCAGCGCTTTAGAAATATGTAAAAAACCATAAACCTTGAGAAAAAGCCTGCATGCACTGAGGTCAGTGATGGTAAGTGACTTCATCAGGTTCACTAAGGAAGCCTGTGGCAGAACTAGGAGTGGACCCCAAGTGTCCAGATTCCCAGTCCTGTGCCTTAACCACAAGAACACCTTACATTGCAGATCATTACCCTGCCCATGGTGCTTGTGAGAAGTTGGATTTGTTACACTGCAGAGATCTGTTTTAGAGTAACAGCTGTGTTAGTCTGTATTCGCAAAAAGAAAAGGAGTACTTGTGGCACCTTTGCAGAGATCTGGAATTTCTTACATTCTGCACTGGCAGTCTCTGGATTTGGGTTTTCTAACACTGAATCTCCTTGTCTTGTAGGTCAGCCAAAGGCATCTCCCACCGTGCACCTCTTCCCTCCATCCTCGGAAGAGATCAAAACAAAGAGCAAAGCCACACTGGTGTGTCTGCTGGGCAGCTTCTACCCAGGCTCAGTCCAAGTCACTTGGAAAGCTGATGGCCAGCAGATCTCCACTGGAGTGGAGACGACCAAGCCATCCAAACAGAGTGACAACAAGTTCATGGCCAGCAGTTACCTGTCTCTGGATGCATCAAAGTGGAAGACTCATGAGACCTACACCTGCCAGGTGACACACGATGGGAAGAACTTCGAGAAGTCCCTGAAGAGCTCAGAGTGTTCTTAACCCTCTGACCCCCGGAGGGCTCGGCCAGTTCCCGTGTCAGTCTGTAGGGGGTTCCCCAAGGGAGCCAGGATCTCTCTGTAGCATTCCCATAATGCCGATTTCCAGCAAATCTGCTTCCTCTTTTAGGTGGGGGATTTTACCAATCCATATGACACCTGTCTTTATTCCCATGTCCCCACCGCTCTCACTCCCTGCATTCCCTGGAATTCTCCTTCCTGCTTTAGTCTCTGATACAGCCTTGTTAGGATATTAATAAAATCGGAAAAATTTGACTATTGCTGTGACTGTGAAGAGTTTAACTTCTTCTGTCCCTTTTACATCTTGTGTATTAATTGCAATATTCACCTTCTCTTCCAATAAAATAAATTTACCTTTTATCAGCTAATATTGTGTTCTTTTTACTCTGGGTCAATGCTCAGCTGGGTCACTAGCCCTGCAGAGAGCAGGCTGCTCTGTGAGTTAGTACTGAGTCACCCTCTGCCCTCGCATGGGGCAGATTCCGGTACCACCTTCTCCCTGAGCATTAGTCATTCTTCAAGTAGCCTCATTCGAATCAGTGGGGCTATTGGCTGGACAGCTCAACACTAAGGGGAATAAGTGACCAAATCTGGCCCGTAGAGGGAGGGGCACTGCTGATGGCGGTTTCCTCCGATAGGCTGTAAACAGAGCTCCTGGCTACTTCTAGTCAGTATAGACACAAACCCCTCTTTGGAAGAGTGGCCTTTAATATCCTGCCACTACCGACTTAGGAGACAGCTCTCTGCCCAGATATCCAGATGATGATTTCTGGAGCACCAAGCGTGTGCAGAGCACAGAGGGGATAATGGCTCTCAGAAGTTTTCAGGAGCTTACAATGCTAGGATGAGAGTGAAAGGATCAGACAGAGCATGTGTGTGTGTGTGTGTGAGTGAGAGAGAGAGCGCGTGTGCCAACGAGTACACGACTGGAACCCAGACCGTGTGCTGATTTTAACACTACTTCATTGACAAAAAGGCTCTGGAAAGCGATTAACTTCCTTTGCTCAATGTTTAGTAATTGGTCCTGCTCCCTTGCACAGGTGAACAGCAATAGACTGACGAATGGACTGAAAAACTGCATGAAGTATTTAGGGTATTTTCAAAAGTGACTCACTCCATTAAAAGTCTAAGTTCAACTGAAAGTCAATAGGACTTAGGAGCGTAAGGGCCAGATTTAAAAGGCAATGAAATGAATGGGCGTTTGGCAACTAGGTGCTTCTCAAAATCCCACAATGTGCCTACCTGTATATTTAGATGCTTAAACACCATTAACACTCCAGGCGTGAGTACTTACGTCACTTCTGACAATGGGACTTGGGGACTTTTGCTGGCGGCTCAGGCCTGCCCTCCACTACCCAGGGAATTCTCCCAGGGTCTGAGCCTCAACCATTGAAGTCACAGGAGCTTCCCCACCAACTCCAGTAGGTGCCGGATCAAGTGTCAAACACAGCACGTGAGCCTTGGCTTCAACTAGGGCCCATTAATGAGGAAATTAGGCTGGTACCATTCACGCCCCTGGCCGTGCTGAGCTGAGACACACCAGGCACTAAGGGGGGGTTGTATTTACAGTCAGAGGGAGGGTCCAGGGCCCTGGTTTAATTCATAAGAAACCAGCTGAGCATGGACACAGCTCACAGCCTAGACGTTTACTGGCCCTGCCTTTGGCGAGAGGGGCACCACACGCCCACACTCTGCTGGGCAGCAGACACCAGAGCGGCTCCCCTAAGGTCAGGGGGAGGGAATAGCCCAGCAATGGTGGGAGTCTCATGGCAGCTCTGTCCAGGGAGACAGCGCTGGGATTTACTGCTGAGAACAGCTGGGAAATACAGAGCACATGGCTGTCATTGCTGGCAATGCGTTAATTTCTAAAGGCAACTCAGGGGCTCTCTTCAGGAAAGTGCTGATCTCTGCTGTATACTGGATATTGATCCCAACATTGCCTTGTATTGGTGCTAACAGGGCTTGGAGCATTTTCCAGCATATGCCAGATGCAGAATCTTGGCTTCTAGAGAGGCCGCCAGGAACGCCTGCATCCGAACCAAGGCTGGGGTCCCAGCAGAGGATGGTGGTGATTGCTTTCATGGCACACGGATCTTGTGCACTATTTACTTGTTCCTCCAACATGTCCAGTGTGGAGACTTCACCAGCCCCTGGCATGGTTCAGCCAAAAGCGAACACACGACGTTTTGACACAGTGTCTTACGGAACTTCTGTGCCCAGTGACTCAGAGCGACCCCTCGCCCACGGACTATCTGCAGATCCTGATCAGGTAAGGCAGGATCATGTGTCATGGGATGGTGGTAGCGTTTCACTGATGGGTGCAGGGAAGGCTGCATTGTCCAGATGAGAGAAGAGGACAACACGTGGTGTTGGTTTCCTATCCACACACAAACAGCTCCAACATGGCAGATCTGTTTCTTTGCTGACACTTCTTGGTGTGAAGCTAGGATAGTTTTGACACTGACTAGGTCTGTAGAGAGGCCAGTGCTCCCAGGGGTGTGGGCTACAGACACGTGCTTTGGAAACATGGGTATCGCCCACATGAGATTCCCTATTGGATACATTAAATACTGACAATAAATGGGCCTAATTCTTCGGTAGTAAAATTCCATACAAACCACTATAATTGCACCAGGGTTGAACATGGCTCAGCATGTTCACTATCAGCATCCCAAATAAATCTGCCAGCCTGTCCCTCCTACGGACCTACGAGGGCCAGCTGAAGATCCACAGACCGTGGGTGTGTTTGGGGAGCACAGGGGCAGTGGAACCCAGTGGAGTGGCAGCTGCTTAGCACACAGCCCCTTTACTTCTATCTAGGTTGGTTTATGACCTGTAGCACTGTTGTATCTGAGCATCTCACAGCCCAAAAGGAATTTATCCTTACAGCATCCCTGGTGAAATAGAGAAGTACTATCCCCATTTTACAGATGGGGAATTGAGGCACACAGATGATCTGACTTGTCCAAGGGCACAACATCAGTCTGTGGCAGAGCCAGGACTTGCATCCCGGTCTCCTGACTCCTGCTCCAGTGCCTTAAGGACAAGACCATCCTCTGCTCTCTTACATGGGCTGTGTGCTGGGACCAGGATTTGGCCCCACGTCAGCTCTCCCAAGGAATACTCCATTACTTCTCCTCCCAATGGATCTTCATTCAATCAATTGTACTTTGAGCTTCTCCAGAAATGATGAACCTTCATTCTCATGGAGAGCCAGCAGAAGTTTTCCAATGACTATTTTCCCCACACGTGCAGTGGTGGCGACCTCTCCCTGCCATTGTTCATGACTGGTTTTTGTACAGCCGTGTGTCACTGTGGGATGTCTTCGGTGGAGGAACCCAGCTGACCGTCCTTGGTAAGTCACTGAATTACTCACCGCCTTTCCTTCTCAATGCCAATACTGTCATGTTTCCATGATTTTTTCCTCCTTTTCTGCCTTAGTGCCAGGCTCGGGTCTCCTCTCTCTTTATGCACACACCTTCCCACAGGGTTGAGAACAATGTTTAACCCGTGGAGAGTCAGAATAGGGTGTACATGTCGCATGCGGGATTTTCTTATATTGTACCTGTGAACAGGGTTTTGAATTTGCCCATGAAACATGTCCAGATTCTGCTGTCAGGTCCCAATTTTGAAATAACTGGTATTAGCCTCTTCAGGGAAATATTTCCCAACCCCCAATTGTTTTTTATTTGCTTTGGTTTTACTGGACTAGACATTTCTTATTAGCACTCGGTTTTGACTCATATGTGAAAGAAACCAGGGGCCAGATTCTCAACCAAGGTCAAACAAAATAGTCCCATGGTCTTCAATAAACCTACACCAAAAATCATCCAAATCTCTTTAAGATGGGTGTACAATACCTTGAAACGTAATGTGATAGAGAAAATAATGTGTTTGTTGCAATCTAAAACCCGATTTGTCTGGTTAGCTTGAAGAAAATTCAAATTAGTGAGAGTTGGTCACAAAATATTATTAAAGTTTCCTTATAGGAAATTTTCAACAAAAATTTAAAAAAAATATTTTCATCTAAATTTTCAGCAGAAAATTTTGACTTTTGGGCAAAAACCCCAAACCCAAACACCAAAACGTTGTCACCGAACAATTACTGAAGAGCCGGGGAGGTGGGAGAAATCAGAGTTCAGGTGAAAATATTTGGTTTTGAGTTTTTGCTTTTCCAACAGTAAAAAAAGATGTTTTTTCGAGATCTGGAGAAACATTCTGCAAAAACTTCCATTTAGATAAAACCCCAATGTTTTAACTGACAAGAGATTTGGTGGGTAATTTTTAACACCCCTATTTGCAGTCTCCTTTTAGAGCAAGTTCAGCGACTGATATTTTTACAGTATAAGAACAGATCTTCATGTGGTGTAAATCAGTGTAGCCCCTTGGCAGCAATGGAATGACACTGATTTACACTTACACCGAGTGAGTCTAATTGCACTGACTGACTTCTGACCCGGAGGATCGGTTCCATTGTTCCTTGGATGACTGTAGCTATCGTGGATTTCAGTTTGGAAATACCACTCAGACCTGATTTTCTGACCGTGCTGAAGGACACCCGACACCTTTGAAATATGGAGGGCTGCAGATAAATGGGGGTGGGGTGGTTTGGAGCAGCCTGTGCGGGGTGCAGGAAAGAGGCTGCACTAATTGCCTCTCCGAAGCCTGGAGCACATTAACAAGGTTGCTGGCCAGCTTCTTCGAAGCTTCATTCTAAGGCTGCCAAGCTCAGAACTCAATGGAGAGGATGCTGGCTGGGCCAGCAACTTCTGTTAGAGTAAAACCTTGAGGAGCAGATAGTTCTCGGCTGGCCAGGGCTCAGTAAATCAGGGCTGCCTGTGCTAACTCAGACAACATTGTTTGTCACTTTGACCTGTGTAAAGCGTGAAATAACTACAGCCCGCAGGCTGCACTGAGCCTACTCGTGCCGAGTAGCACCTTGCTCTTCAAACAGGCCCACTGACGTCAGTGGGACCGACCCCTTGTGGAGTAGGGTGCTACCTGGAATGAGGAAGAGTTGCTCAGTTTGGTCCCAGGTGTCTGGATGTTACCACTCTGAGGAATTTTTAAACCCCTGGTGCACCCGTTCCTAAACCAGTAGGTCCTTTATTGTGTCCATATCTTGCAATGTCCCTTTTCCTCTTGTCTTGGACCCTGATCCAGCAAAGCACTGAGACACATACTGACTCGAGTCCTTTGGTCCCATAAATGTTTCTGAAAACATTTTAGCAACAAGAGTATCCAGTATATAACACGGTGCGATAAAAAGCTATTTCCCAGCCAAGACTCATGCAGACAGATCTGACCCTTAGCTTAGAGACCTACAGAATGTGATGAACAATGGTAACTGCTCAATGAGATCATTGATTTATGTTGCAGAATTTTATATCCTGAAACTTTATCTGGGAAGATAGAATGACATAGAGTGGTTCAAAAGAGCTCTCTCTAGGAAAGTGCTGTACTATATTACAGTAGTTTCTATGGAATGCTATCAATGTGTCTAGATCCCCTGTCCCATTCTTTGGCTCTTGTTGGTTGCTTTGTTATTACATTTTATAGGATTATTCCATACGGGAAAATGTGGGTTACCCCAGATTCCCTTCTGGGCACTGAAGCGGCTTCTGGTGCCCTAACCACACACATTAAACTCTAAGAAATAACCCCAAACAAATATCCAGAACATAGTCCAAAACCCTTAGAAAGCGGATTTTAGATTTCTAAAATGCAGCACAACGTAGAACGAATTGCAGATTTTCTTTGTGAACCACTCATGCTAGACATCCAATGCATATAGATTGCAGCATACTTCTTTGCTCACTTTCATAACAATAATTTGTATCTTTAGTGCCAACACTGTACACCTTGCAGGCCCCAAGTTATTATTTGAAGTCAGTGGGAGTTATGGGTGCAGCAGGAATACAAGATAAAGCCTTCACGGATTAAAGTGACAAAAAGGATGAGTAAAGTAATATTATCCCCTTTTACAGGCATAGGGACAGTAACTAACTAGGCCAGGTTCACTAAGGAACCCTATGGCAGAGCAATGATTAGACCCCAAATCTCTTGATTCCCAGTCCTGTGCCTTAACCAGAAGAGCATCTTACATCTCAGATAATTACCCTGCCCATGGCACTTGTGAGAGTTTGGATTTGTTACACGGCAGAGATCTGGAACGTTGAACATTCTGCACTGCAGTCTCTGGATTTGGGTTTTCTAATACTGAATCTCTTTGTCTTGTAGGTCAGCCAAAGGCATCTCCTACCGTGCACCTCTTCCCTCCATCCTCGGAAGAGATCAAAACAAAGAGCAAAGCCACACTGGTGTGTCTGCTGGGCAGCTTTTACCCAGGCTCAGTCCAAGTCACTTGGAAAGCTGATGGCCAGCAGATCTCCACTGGAGTGGAGACGACCAAGCCATCCAAACAGAGTGACAACAAGTTCATGGCCAGCAGTTACCTGTCTCTGGATGCATCAAAGTGGAAGACTCATGAGACCTACACCTGCCAGGTGACACACGATGGGAAGAACTTCGAGAAGTCCCTGAAGAGCTCAGAGTGTTCTTAACCCTCTGACCCCCGGAGGGCTCGGCCGGTTCCCGTGTCAGTCTGTAGGGGGTTCCCCAAGGGAACCAGGATCTGTCTGTAGCATTCCCATAATGCTGATTTCCAGCAAAACTCCTTCCTGTTTAAGATGGGAGATTTTACCAATCCATATGACACCTGTCTTTATTCCCACGTCCCCACTGCTCTCACCCCCTGCATTCCCTAGAACTGTCCTTCCTGCTTTAGTCTCTGATGCAGCCTTGTTATGATATTAATAAAATCAGAAAAATTTGACTATTGCTGTGACTGTGAAGAGTTTAACTTCTTCTGTCCCCTTTTCTCCTAATGTATTAATTGCAATATTCACATAATCGTCCAATAAAATAAACTTACCTTTTATCAGCCAATATGGTTTTCTTTTTAGTAGGGATCTCGTTGGCTTTGGGGTTTCAGACAAGCTAAGGGAGAAGTAACGCTAAGTGACGTGTAATATCATGGAGATCAGGGGAGGGGGAGAGATGTCACAGAGGGATCATTACCCAAGCTGTGACTGTTCTCCCCTAACACGGGTCACTCTGGCTCTAAGCCAGCCTTCTGGGAGGGGTGACAATTGCTGCTGCACAAATCTCTCTCCAGAGCACACGTTGTGTTAGGGAATCACTGGGGGATCGTGGGCTGCATGAGAGCGTAATGCAAACCCCCATGGCTCTGCAGCCAGCCCTGCTTGTGCTGGGATCCTGGCAGCTCCCAACAGACCAGCAGGGCTAGGCTGGCTCAATGCTCAGCTGGGTCTCTAGCCCTGCAGAGAGCAGTCTGCTCTGTGAGTTAGTACTGAGTCACCCTCTGCCCTCTCAGGGGGCAGATTCAACAAGCCTCATTGGAGTCAATGGGCTATTGGCTGAACAGGTCAGCACTTAGGGGAATAAGTGTCCAAATCTGGCCCATAGAGTGAGGGGGACCACACTGCTGCAGACTTTTCCCTGGGATAGGCTGTAAACAGAGCTTCTGGCTACTTCTGATCTGTAGAGACACAGCCCCCCCTTTGGAAGAGTGGCCTTTAATATTCTGCCAGCACCAACCTGTATGACAGCTCCCTACGTACCCAACCTGCCCTCCCAGCAGGGGCAGCTGTACATGGAAATCTGCCTGAATTAAGCAAGTGCTGCTGGCCCCTGGGTGACACCTGCTGTGTTTCAGCCAGACATACTTATGTCCAGTATGACCAGCTGCATAAATGTGTAAAGTGCTTTGGGAGCCTTCAGATTCAAGATGCTTTTCAAGTGAAAGCAGAACATTGCTGACGCTCTGGATTCTCTGGTATCACTCAGGCCCATGTTACTTCTGGGGCGCTGCACAGTTTGAGCCCTGATGGGCCAGAGCAGACCGTTTGCATCCCTTAAAAAAACCATTAGTTGTGCTAGGGAATCGGTTTCATGTGAGACAGGATACTCTGTCTGAGGGGTGCTCTGGAGTCTGTCTCACCCTTCCCAGACAGCAGCATGCACCGTGTGTACAGCTGGGAACTCACATCACGGAGCGGGTTTATGATGGACCCCGGAGCCGTGCTGGGCCAGCCAGCCACAAGGGACCCTGATTCTCCTACAGTCCTGGGGCCAGGGAGGGAAAGGGATACATTTATGCCACGTATTTGTCAGATCCCATCAAGCTGCCCCCACTCACCATATGAGTGACACTGATGGATAGATGGATGGCCAGTCATGCACTGCCATCTCCTACAGAAGGGAATAAGGGGAAAGGGGAGCAGAGGGAGGCTGAACTACGGAGAAGTTTTAAACAATGAGGGTTTTTTAACCTTCACAAAGTATTTTTAACATCCCCAGACCGACTGACCCCCCCCCTCCCCCCCATCCCAACACACTCACAGGACTGTACATGGCAGGATAAGAGTCCCATATAGTGATTTGTGGGGCACCAAGAGTGTGCAGAGCACAGAGGGGACAAAGCAAGGGTGAGAGTGAAGGGATGGGACAGAGCGTGTCAGAGAGAGAGAGAGAGCGCGCATGTACCATAAATAGTTCGTTGCTAGACCCCATTGAAGTAGTGTTAAAAATCAGCACACACCATTGGCAAAAAAGCTCTGGAAAGAGATTAACTTCCTTTGCTCAAAGTTTATTAATTGGGCCTGTTCCCTTGCACATGGGAACTGCAATAGACTGATGAATGGACTGAAAAACTACATGAAGTATTTAGGGTATTTTCAAAAGTGACTAACTCCATTAAAAGTCTAAAGTTCAACTGAAAGTCAATTCAAATTAGGTTCCTAAGGGCCAGATTTAAAAGGCAATGAAATGAATGGGCGTTTGGCAGCTAGCTGCTTTTGAAAATCCCACTACGCGCCTGCCTGTAACTATAGGTGCTTAAATACCTTTAACTCTCTGTCCCCAAGTGCTTACGTTGCTTCTGACAATGGGACTTGGGCACATTTGCCAGCGGCTCAGGCCTGCCCTCCACTACCCAGGGAATTCTCCCAGGGTCTGAGCCTCAACCACTGAAGTCACAGGAGCTTCTCCACCAACTCCAGTAGGTGCCGGATCAAGTGTCAAACACAGCACGTGAGCCTTGGCTTCAACTAGGGCCCATTAATGAGGAAATTAGGCTGGTACCATTCACGCCCCTGGCCCTGCTGAGCTGACACACACCAGACACTAAGGGGGGGTTCGTGTTTACAGTCAGAGGGAGGGTCCAGGGCCCTGGTTTAATTCATAAGAAACCAGCTGAGCATGGACACAGCTCACAGCCTAGACGTTTACTGGCCCTGCCTTTGGCGAGAGGGGCACCACACGCCCACACTCTGCTGGGCAGCAGACACCAGAGCGGCTCCCCTAAGGTCAGGGGGAGGGAATAGCCCAGCAATGGTGGGAGTCTCATGGCAGCTCCGTCCAGGGAGACAGCGCTGGGATTTACTGCTGAGAACAGCTGGGAAATACAGAGCAAATGGCTATCGTTGGGGGCACTGTGTTAATTTCTAAAGGCAACTAAGGGGCTCCCTTCAGGAAAGTGCTCATCTCTGCTGCACACTGGACATTGATCCCAACATTGCCTTGTATTGGTGCTAACAGGGCATGGAGAATTTTCCAGCATATGCCAGATGCAGAACCTTGGCTACCAGCTAGACCGCCAGGAACACCTGCATCCGATCGATGGCTGGGGTCCCAGCAGAGGATGGTGGTGATTGGTTTCATGGCCCACGGATCTTGTGCACTATTTACTTGTTCCTCGGACATGTCCGGTGTGGAGACTTCACCAGCCAAATGAGAGACGGAACAGGAGGGTGCAGTTTCTTCAGAGCAACCCCTGGCCCATGGACTATCTGGAGATCCTGATCAGGTAAGGCAGGATCATGTGTCATGGGATGGGGTAGCGTCTCACTGACGGGTGCAGGGAAGGCTGCACTGTCCACATGAGAGACGAGGACAACATGTGATGTTGGTCTCCTATCCACACTCATGCAGCCCCGGCATGGCAGATCTGTTTCTTTGCTGACGCTTGTTGGTGTGACGCTAGGATAGTTTTGACACTGACTAGGTCTGTAGAGAGGCCAGTGCTCCCAGGGTGTGAGCTACAGACATGTGCTTTAGAAACATGGGTAACGCCGACATAAAATACACTATTGGATACATTAAATACTGACAGCAAATGGGCCTAATTCTTCTCTAGTAGAATTCCCACAAGTCACTATAATTGTAGCAGGGTTGAATGTGGCTCAGCATGTTCACTCTCAGGATCCCAAATAAATCTGCCAGCCTCTCCCTCCTGGGGACCTATGAGGGGCAGCTGGCAATGGAAGGACCAACAGCTTAGCAGCCCCAATTCAAACACTCTCTGCGTCCCCTCCACCACCCACAGTGGTGCTAGATGGAGCTCCATCCACAGCAGCACACACAGGCATGCTAGACATACCTGTAGATCCACAGACCGTGGGTGTGTTGGGGGAGCACAGGGACAGTGGAACCCAGTGCAGCAGCAGCTGCCTTGCACACAGTTCATTTGCTTCTATCTAGGCAGGTTTATGACCTGTATCACTGTCATACCTGAGCAGCTCACAGCCCTAAAGGAATTTATCCTTATACCACCCCTGTGAAATAGGGAAGTACTATCCCCATTTTACAGTTGGGGAACTAAGGCAAGAGATGACGTGACTTGCCCTAGGGCACAAAGTCAGTCTGTGGCAGAACCAGGACTTGAACCCATCTTCTGACTCCCACTCCAGTGCCTTAAGTACAAGACCCTCCTCTGCTCTCTTACGTGGGCTGCATGCTGGGACCAGAATTTGGCCCCATGTCAGCTCTCCCAAGGAATACTCCATTGCTTCACCTCCCAATGGATCTTCATTCAATCAGTTGTACTATGAGCTTCTCCAGAAACGATGAACCTTCGCCCTCAAGGAAATCCCAGTTGTCGTCCCGTGTCTATTTTCTCCACACGTGCAGCGGTGGCAACCTCTCCCTGCCATTGAACATGACTGGTTTTTGTACAGCCTTGTGTCACTGTGGATTGTCTTCGGTGGAGGAACCCAGCTGACCGTCCTTGGTAAGTCACTGAATTACTCACCGCCTTTCCTTCTCAATGCCAATACTGTCATATTTCCATGATTTTTTTCCTCCTTTTCTCTCTTAGAGCCAGCATTGGGTCTCCTCTCTCTTTATGCACAGACTTTTCCACAGGATTGAGAACAAATGTTCAATCTGTGGATAGTCAGAACAAGGTTTAGATGTCCCATGCTGGATTTTTCTTATCTTTTCCCAATGAACAGATTTCTGAATTTGCCCATGAAACCTACCCAGATTTTGCTGCTGGGTCCCAATTTTTAAATAACTGGTGTTAGCATCTTAAAAGAAAACATTTTAAAAGAAAATGTTTTTTGTTTTAATGGACTAGACATTCCTTATTCACACTGGGTGTTCCCAAAATGAGAAAGAAACCAAGGGCCAAATTCTCAGCCAGGGTAAAACGACATAGTGCCTTTACTTTCAATAGATCTCCACCAAAATGCACCGAAGCCTCCTTAAAATAGATGTACAATCCCTTGAAATGTAATGTGAGAAAGGACATATTATTTTCATGTCATTTGAAATCTGACCTTCTGGAGTAGTTTGAAGACTTTTCATTTTGGCAAGAGTTAGTCACAAAATGGGGTTTCAATTTCTGGAAAATTTCAACAAAAATGAAAACTGTTATTTTTGTCTAAACTCTCAGCAGAAAATTGACTTTTTAGGAAAAAAATTTAAAAAACAAACACTCTCTTTTCAGTAATTATTGGGTGAAAAAGAAAACCCCCAGATATTTACAGAAACCTTTTGGTTCTGAGTTTTTGTGTTTCCAACAAGAAATTTTTTGACCTCAGACACATTCTGTAAAAATTTCCATTGAGATGAAAA